AGGTTTTTCTCAATAAATGTTCTCAGCTCTTCCAACTCCCTCGGTGACATGCTGTACATCATGGGTTTAGAGAGTTTAGTGCCGGGTAAGATTTCTATCACAGTCGGTGGCACAGTGGGGGGGAGATCATCTGAGGTTTTTTCGCTAAAATCCTCAGTCAAATCCTTGTATTTTATGAGTATGCTCTCAGTTGGTATGGCGTGACCAGGCATGGCTGTTTCTCGATTATCTGCCCCGTCAGTTCCTTTATGTGGATTCTCAGCAAAAGTCACATCCATCTGAAATTTTATGATGCCTTGTTTCCAATTGATTTTGGGGTTCCATTTTTTTAGCCATGCAAGGCCCAGAACCAATGGCCATTCCATGCCAGGTGCCACTATAAATGTAAGTATTTTCTTGTGGCTTCTGATGCCTATATGTAAAGGCTCGGTAGCAAAAGAAGCTGGCTCCCCTCCTGCTATTGACCCATCTAGTTGGCAGAAAGCAATGGGGTTTTTCAGCTTTCTTACATTAATCCCCAACTTCCCTACTAGGGTTGGGCTGATCAAACAACGGGTGCACCCTGAATCCACTAGAATTGATATATTTATCTCCCTGTCCTGGTTTCGGATCAATAGTCTTAAGGGGAGGATAAGCGGTTTAATTGGTTTGCTTACCAGTGGTTCATCATCTGGATCGCTTCCAAATAAGTGTGATTTCTCCAGATGCCAGGGTTTCCTCCCCAAAAGGGGGAGGGGATGGAACTTCTACAGTCTCCCTGCTCCTCAGGGCAATCTCCTTCCAACGCCAACCCGGTTTTGCAGGGTTCTCCCCCGGTGGGTGGTTCCGGGCGGGTGTTTGCGAACGACACTCTGCAGCTCGGTGCCTCTCTTTTCCACACTTGAAACAAGCTGAAGCTCTCAGAGAGAATGTGGTTTGTGTATTGAGGGGCTCCTGCTTCAATTGGGGTGGGGATTTCTTCCATGCTCACCCCGCTCGATACTGCTTTCTGGCCATATTGATCTCAGCTTCTTCAGCGTTGACGTACCATTCATGTAGGTCATTCGGTGCACCTCGGGCCACGCATGCATTGTATAGATCATCACTCAGCCCGTCCTTGAAACAGCGCACCGAAATATCTTCCGGCCAGTTCACACGATACACAAGGTCCCTGAATTCTTCAGTATACTCTGCTACTGGCTGTCGCCCCTACCTCACCACCTTAATGCGGTCGCATGCTTTGCAATCTGCTAGTCAGTCCTCAAACCGGTGTCGCAGTGCAATCATGAAATGGTCGAAATCCCGCAATTCTGGTGCGTTGGCATTATGCAGGGTCACCATCCATCTGGCAGCAGTGCCCTCTAGGGCTAGGGTCACAACTCGCACTCGGGATCCTTGGGTTTGGAAATCATGCCTGTACTCTTGCATGTAGGTTAGCACATGTGCCACAAAGAATCCTAATTGTTGTGGATTCCCATCAAACGTCACCCCAAGGGAGGGAGTTTCTCTTTCCAGTTGCAGGACTCAGGGCTGGTTGGGAATGGGCGTCGGTGTGCATGCTGCCTGGGGGGGGGGTTTGCTGGGTTTTCTCCTGCTGCTGCTGTGCCATCTGCTTGATAGGCAGGCTCCAGAAGGTGGGTGCCTCCCGTGGCATCATCCGTGACTGCTGCCCTTTCCGCGCCCTTTGGTTGTTGTCCTGAGTCCCTTCGGATGTTGAGATTTTCCAAAGTTTCCATCACCAATTGGGTTATATGCCTCTTCAGATAATCTTCCCTCAGTGGTGCTTCAGTCAGTTCCCCCTGGTCAGCAAAGGCTTCTAGTTCCAGTTTCCACCCCGGTTTTCGGTTGCCATGGCTGAGGGTGACTCCTCTGGTTCTCTCATCCCAGCTATCTTTCTTCCCGATGCCAATTGACCAGCGGGGCTTTTCAGGATTCTCCAGGGTTACCTCATCCTCTCCGATGGGGTGTACAAAACAGGCATCTGACTGGGTGGTGGTTGATGTCTCTCCCCAGCAATCGGCTTCTCCCAGTTCTCTGCTTTGTTCAGACATTGTTTGCAAGGTCCCCTCAGTAGAGCGAAGATTGCTTCTCTGGGTTGACCATTTTGCAGATCTTGCTTTGTGTAAGGATTGCCTCTCCTTCCAACTTAAGAAAGTAAAAACTCTTGAAACGTGGTTGTTCAAAAGAAACCTTTTTTTAAGCAGAAGTGATAGCCACCTGGTTAAAGCAAGATCTGAATACCCTTAGGCAAGACAAGTAGGATTAAAGCAGTAGAGACCCTTCCCTTTAAGTCAGAATGCAGATTTTAACCAATACACAAGTGTGAAGATGCTTTCTTTCCCAGTTTCCCTGAGAACCCGAACAACCATGCATTCACACTGTTATCCTTTAAAGTGAAACAACCCACATGGCTGTCATAAACATTCTTCAATGTTAAGGGGATCCCAGGGCTCTTTGGCACCAGGATATAGGTTGTAAAATACCTGTTGACACAGGCAATGCTAGTAAATCGAATCCAAGTCTCCCCCTTCCTCCAATTGAATGGCAGTATCACTTTTAGGGATCTGACACTACCTATGTGTTCATTATGCCTGGTAGAGCCTAACTTTGAAAAGTGTGAGTTGGATTATTGAAACATGGCAGTTGTGTTTATAAAGTTCTGAGAATAAAAGTATATTATGGAATGTGTGATTTCGGAAGTAATTGTAAAATCTTATTTCTGATTTCTTAACAGCTTTGACCATGTTTCTCATCTTTGTCTCTTCCACAAGGACTCATGTTCTTTGGTTACAATTTCTGTTCCAATTAACTATCAAAGCTAGTCTCTTCATGGATACTTTTAGGAAACTTTTTCCACATGCATAGCACATTTGTAACAGAATACAGAACTTGTCTTGTTAGAGGCACTTGCTTCCCTGTGGAAGAAAAAGAACAAAAGTCAGTTTTGATATTTAGGTCATCCTGTCTATTTCTCAGGAAGGTGGAAAGTAAGACCTACTTTAAAATTGTCTTTGGCAGATATTTTATTTGTACTTTTCAGAGTTCCTCCTTCTCTTTCTAGTACATTTTCTTACCAAAATAATCGGTGTGCTACCCTAAAGTTACATTATATTGTTTTGCATAACAATAGTCCTAAAATGTCCTTTAGAAATCAGTTAGTCTTTTCAAGAGCTGTTTCAATTTTATTTTCACAGAAATGTTGTGAGGTACATTAGACTAGATACAAGAGTATCAATTATCTATAATTTGATCCTAGCCATTGGGAAATACATAGTTAAGGAAGCAGAAATACCAGGAATATTGGGGGGGAAAGGGTAACATTCTAGATTTTTAAAGGAAAATTAAATATATATTTTGTCCACAATTATCAAATGATTCTTGCAGCTATATTGCACATGACTGTGTGTCCACAACCCCAATCCAACATTACTATGCATATTATTAAACTACATTTCTTTTCAGTTCTCATCCCAAAACTGTTTCAGTAGGAATTTCCTGGATTTCTTTCCATGAAGAATCTTATTTTGTGTAGAGATATTTGGGTTTTTATCCAATATAAACTACTATGATATCCAATATTGCATAATTTTTGTAAACAATGAACAGCACAGTAAAATATGTCATTTTGTATTTATTTTGCATACATTAAGTATATCATAATAGAAAATAAAATTGATTAATCTCATAACATGGAATTTGGCAATATTTTGTTTTATGTGTACCAAAATGGCTACAGTAATCCCTATCTGCCCTGTATTTAATTCGTTGTACCACCTTGTCTTATTTGTGCAAATAAGAGTAAGATTCTGAAGTGAAACTTATAACTCTATTATATTACTTCTAGCAAAAAATGTTAGGCTCAAAACAGGAAAAACACATGGAAGTAAGTCGAGTTCACTGAGGGAATTTAGTGAATTCCCTTTATTGGGATGACTCTATGACTGAAATATAGGAAATTTAAAAATTAAAAGAAGCAATGGCAAATGGCAAAGTTAGAGAAATGTGTACTGTGTGTAAAAATATCCAAGTTAAAGATATTGATGGTGCAATGGCCACTTATACTGGGCACTTATACTGGGAGAAAATTCTGTCAAGCAGGATTCTTCCAGAGAATATCTGACAGCGTTCTCCTCCAGAAGATGAAAGGAAATACAAGGAGCATCAGTTATCCATGACGTGATCCTAGCCATTGGGGAAGACTTAGTCAAGGAAGCAGAAAAACCTGGAATATTGAAGAAAAGTGTAACATTCTAAAAATAATAATCCAGAAGTTTTGAAGCTGTACATATTTAATTTTTAAGAATGTCTGTTGATTATTTATCTTGTAGTGTCAACTGTCCTATTAGCATATGAAGGAAAAAAAAAAAACTCCTGGGACATAATTTTACCAAGAGTAAAATTTTACTGATAGATCCATATAGGTACAGATGAAGTAAAGCCAATTCTAAAGGTGCATAGGTAAAGTTCCCCCTTTCCCCTTGAGGCCTCTCACTGTCCATTGTTCGCCAATCCAACACTTTCTTCGTGTTTTAGAAAACAGTCTCTGCTGTTCAAAGAGTTCCCATAACATGACCTTGAAGTGAAGGAACTCTCACAGGGCCCAGCTGGCTCACTTGATTCCTCAGCCCCTCTCAACACCCCCCAAGGCTTCTACCCCATCCCTTCCATTTCTGTTGTCAAGGTGCAAGGAAAATTGCAGGCAGAGATAGAATCCGAATCAGTAGTAAATGTTTGACCAGGGAGTAAGGACTATTATTTTGAGGGGTGGTGGTGGTGGTAAAAGTTTAGACAATTGAATACAATGTGCCAGATAAGACTGACTCCAGAACATGAGTCTTTGGGAAGGATGTATTTAACCAAACCATCTTGGTATTTATTTATTTACTTTTCACTTATTAAAAAGAACATGAAAACATTTAACCTTTCTTTGCTTTTTCATTCAATGACAAAAAGAAAATATATAATCAGGATATGAAAACAACTTAAATGTCAGTTTATATTTTTACTGTTTCCTTATGTAGGCCTTTAAGAGGGAACTAAAAACAAAAGACTCTGTTATCTTAAATGCACTTGAAACAGCCCGAACGTTCATATCTGAAAAGCCTCTGGAAGGACTGGAAAAGTTTTACCAGGAGCCGAGAGGTAAATGCTAGAGAGCAATAATAACCTTTCAGAAAAAGCAGCAGCAGTGGCTAAAATAAAAAATCTATCCATTCTTATTGGATCTCTCTAAATCTTTGCAAGTTTAATATGATAAGAATAAGGAGAATACACAGAATTTAAACAATAATCTATTTGCAGATTTATGAGCATAGCAATATTGGGCACAATTATTATGTGTAATTTATTGATTATTATTCTAAATCCGTATTCCTTGGCATAGAGAAGATTCTAGAATCAGGAATAAAACACTAATATATAAAATTAAAGTAAGTTTACACTTTGTATTTCTAATCCCAATACTGTCTTTGCATATTCTAATCTAATATTGCTTCAAATATATGGAAAGAGTGACCATGATGCCATTCAGGTAGACTTAATGCCACTGATAGAACACCATGATACTACTCAATTTGAGCCAGTGCCACGGATATAACACTTGAATGTTTTTGCCTGATAATAATAAAAAAAATTGAGATTTTGTTTTTAAATTTTATTTATGTTATCTATGTGCTTCGCTTTTAGAGCTGTCTCCGGGTGAAAGAGTCCAGAATGTAACTCAATTCCTAAAGAAGCAGGCAGTTGATGTTAAAACAGAATGGGATAAATTGAATCTACAATCTTCTGACTGGCAAAAAAAGATTGATGAAGCCCTTGAAAGACTACAAGAGCTTCATGAGGCAATGGATGATTTCGATCTAAAACTGCATCAGGCAGAAACTGTCAAAGAGTCTTGGCAGCCAGTTGGGGATTTGCTCATTGACTCACTGCAGGATCATCTTGAAAAACTGAAGGTAAAATTGTATTTTTGTTCAGTGCTATTTGCATTAACATACACTTAACATTCTGCTGTAGCTTCAACACCAAGAGAGAATTCATAATTATTTTAAATAATCACAATGAATATTGAGATAAAATATAAATAAAAACATATTACTGCTATCTTAAATAACTTAGTTGTGCTTTAAAATGTAGGATAGTGAAAAATTCCAAAGGCATTTGGTTTTATATGTCAAATATGTAAAGAGCCTTGATAGTACAGTGGTTTAGTGCACCCTGTTATTAACACAGCTGCCTGCAATTTCTGCTGGTTCAAATCTCTCCAAGGCTCAAGGTTGACTCAGCCTTCCATCCTTTCTAAGGTAGGTGAAATGAGGACCCAGTTTGTGGGGGCAATAAGCTGACTTTATATAAAATATACAAAAGAATGAAGGCTATTGTTTAACGCATTGTAAGCCGCCCTGAGTCTCCGGAGAAAGGTGGCATATAAATCAAATTTAAAAAAAAATTTTTTTTTAATTGTGCATTTTTAGGAAACTTCATTTATCTATTTATTGTTAATGTAACCAAATTTATTTTTTATATATACATTATGAAAAAATTACCAAATGTCAGCAAAATTATAGTTACTTTATGGGCTAATTATCCACTTCATAGGATGCAAGAAAATGCTTTCATTTCTATACTACTTATATTCATTAATTGATAGATCGATTATTGTTGCCAAGTAATTGATGACTCTTAGCAGCCATGAAGATATTCTCCTCGATGATCTATCCCTAACTTGTTCCTTCAGTTCTTGCAACAGTGCACTCATTGCCACTGTAACCAAGTCCATCTTCCTTACTACTGGTCACCCTCTTCTTGTCCATTTTTTATCCTTTATATAAATTTATTGATTTCTGTTTTATATCCCTTCAGAGAAAAGTGGGATGAAAAGGTTTGAGGATCCAGGAGGGCCTACTTATGTAGGACTATTTTGTAATTTCATTTATTTTTGTGACTTTGTTTTTCCTAAATTCTCTCTCTCCCCTGCCTCTGTTCTGTTCTTTGTGACCTATATTTTTTCCTAATTTCTTGGTTGCAAACAAGGTTATCCCTTGACCTTTTTGTTTAGCCATGTCTTTCCTTTGTCACCCTATTCCTCTTCCATTTTCCACTCTCATCTCTTTACATCCTTTTGCTAAGGTTATCACAAGTTTAAAAATGTTCATTTCTCTTTATTAGAGTGCATTATGAAAATATGGTTTTTAGCAATTTACATGAAGTTGACAACTGAATTATATTTCAGGATGCATTACAAAAAAAAAATAACGTACTGTATTAAATTATGTTGGTTGGTATGGCTAGAATAAGGAAAATTATTTATTTAGTTCATCCATAGAGAACAATTCTTTTTCAACAAGCTAGAATTTATCTTTTCCATTTTGAAGAAATAGATACAATCTCCTATGAGCACCAACGTTAGATCAGGTTTTTTTCTGTCAAAGAAAACACAGTGAAATCAGTACTATGTATTAGGTGTCTGGTATTCTTTCTTCTTTTGCCATTATTGAACACAGATCTGAAGCCTTATGAAACATATACTAGCAAGAGAATATTTAAGTGCCAATTTTGTCTATATGGGTTTTGAAGATATCAGAAGGGTTCTACTGAATTCAAGGTTGATAAGAACACTTTGGTTCATGTGAATATGGGAGTTTTCTAGGGAAATAATCCCATGGTTGTTGAGTCTGTATTGATTTTAATCTATTTTATTTGTATTTTGACTGGTTAGATCATTTTACATTCTTCATGCACTTTGCATACCTTATGATAGAGTTAGGGTAGAGAAATGAATACATTTAGAATAGAACAGAACAGAACAGAACAGAACAGAACAGAACAGAACAGAACAGAACAGAATAGAATAGAATAGAATAGAATTCTTTATTGGCCAAGTGTGATTGGACACACAAGGAATTTGTCTTTGGTGCATATGCTCTCAGTATACACAAAAAGTCAAGATACATTTGTCAAGAATCATAAGGTATGGGACTTCCGGTTTGCTTGCCTCCGGTGAAGACGGTCCCTTTCTAAGGACCGCCAGCCCCGCCGTTTGTAGAGCCGCTTCGATTGTGAGAAGCGGCTTGAAAACTCCAGAATCTGCAGGATTTGAAGGAGAAGAGTAACCAAGGCGCAGGTCGAGCCCCTGTGAACCCCCAGAAGTTTGCTACTGGGGAGGAAACAGGCGTGGCTCCCTTTCAACTTGTGGAGACTCCGGACGGCGTGGGACGACTCTGCTTGTTGCAGAGCAAGCCGGCTGCAGCAAACACCTAAATTGATTGAAAGCAACTTTTTTAACTATTGGACAAAATAACCTGAACCTTCAAACCAAGAAATTGCAAGTATTTTTCTTTCTTTGTGACTTTTCGATCTAAGTAAAAATTAGAGCGAGCGGAAGCGGCTTGAAAAGATGGCGCCGCTCCAGCGTTAACAAGCTGAAAGGGAGAGTGGTCTTGTAAAGCTATTCTAATAAGTTACATTGTTGTGCTGCTTGTAGCAAGCAAACAGGAGAAGAGGAGAAAAAAATCCTTTTTAAAATAAGCTGAGCTCGCTTTAGTTTAATTCTATTTCCCACTCGACTAAAACTGGGGGATTTTTTTAGAGGACTTTGTGGTGCTGGAAAAGGAAAAAGGATTTCCTTTTTTAGAAAATCTAATCTACGTGGCAGAATGGCTTCTAAAAAATAGGAAGGCAAGGCAGCAGGGGGGGGATCCCCCACACACAAGCCTGAAGAGCAGTCTTCTTCTGCTCAGCAGAGTCAGAAAACAGATTTTGATTTTGAAAGTTTAAAAAAAATTATTACTCAGGCTCTGGATGATAATTTCCAAAAATCTCAACAGGAAATGGATGATAAATTCCAAAAATCTCAACAGGAAATCAAGCAGGAAATTATTGAAATGAAAAAGTTGGTGTAAGAGAATTATGGCAAGGTGACTGATAAACTATCAAATGTGGTCTCTGGCTTGTCAGAAATTATTATTAAAGTGGACTCTAAATTGGAAGAATTTAAATCAGAAGTGAATGTCAAAATAAAGGATACTGATTTTAAAATTTCTGATGTGGATAATAAAATGCAGAGAGTTGAAAACGAAATTACGATGATGCAATTCCGGTCTATGGAATTTGCAATAAGACTCAGAGGTATTAAGGAGAATGACCGACAAGATTTGAGACAGGTTTGTGCTGATGCCTTGGCTGTGTTGTTAAAAATCAATTCTGATGAGATTTTTTACAAAATAGACAAAATTTACAGAGTGAATTCGTGGGTGGCCAGACAAAGACAATTGCCTAGAGATGTGGTGATATATTTCACAGATAGAAGAATGAGAAATGATATTTTGCAAAAATCTTTTCTTTCTTCTGTGCAAGTGGAGGGAACTCAAATTGGAATTTACAAAGAACTTCCGCCAAAGATGTTGAAAGATAGAAAAGATTTTGGTTTTTTAGTAAATGATTTAAAAAAATTAGAGATTCCATTTCAGTGGGATGCCCCAACTGGTATAATCTTGAAGTACAATGGAGAAAGATATCGACTGAATACTGTTGAAAAGGCGGAACATTTTTACTATACCGTTTTTAAGGAGAGACCACCATCCCCACGTACATCTACTGTGTTGGAGATAAAGGAGAGTGATAAGGAGAAGCAATTTCAGCAAGAGTTGGAAGAGCAGCCTAAGCAGATTGAATCAGAGCCAATGGAAGTGCAGGGTGCTGTAGGAGGTTATCTGGAAGAGCCCCTGTTAGAATCTTCTCCAATTTTGACTATAAGAGATGTGGCCTTGGACCTAGCTCGTATGGCTGAAGCCAAAGACCAGCGAATAACTCGTGCAGTTTCTAAATAACTCAAAGAAAAACAATTACAAAAAAGAGCTAAGGCACAACAATATAAAAAAGGAGTCAAGAGTACTACACAACAAAGTGAAGCCATGGGGGGAGCAAAGCCGAAGGTCTCGGAAGATATCCGGCAATTCTGCTCGTCGCTTCAAAAAGGCATACATGACGGTTAAGTTTTTATCTTGGAATGTGAATGGACTGAACTCACCACAGAAAAGGAAGAAGATATTTACATATTTGAAACAATTTAATAATGATATAATTTGTTTACAAGAAACTCATGTCAGAACACAAGATCAAAAATATTTGATAAATTCAAAATTAGGAACACATTTTATAGCTTCAAACTTGGAAAAAAAAGAATGGTGTGGTTATTTACATAAATAAAAGATTATCAGCTAAAATTATAGAAGCAGACGAAGGTGGTAGGTTTGTAGCAATTGAACTGTGCACTGTATATAGCCAAATTCTTGTGATTGGCATTTATGCTCCTAACCAGCAACAGGATCACTTTTATAAAACTTTGCATACTAAAATATTGCAATGGGACTATAGATCTATTCTGATTATGGGAGACTGGAATGGAGTGATTGATTCTAAATTAGATTTAAAAAGTCTGGCGAAGTCAAGGATCAGACTACCACAAACTTTTTTTGATTTGAAAGAAGATTTGGAATTAAAAGATGTGTGGAGAATATATAACTCAAAAGACTTGGACTATACTTTTTTCTCTGATAGACATAGATCTTTTTCAAGGATTGATTTTATTTTATTATCAAATGACTTACTTGTTAAAACAAAAAGAACTAAGATCTTCCCAAGAACTCTATCTGATCATAGTCCAGTATGGATAGAAATTGAGACTGGAAAGACTGAGAGAAGATCGTGGAGATTAAATGAAAATTTGTTCAGATATGAAAAAAATATAATAGAACTTAAAAAGCAGATGAAAGAATTTTTTGAAATTAATTTGAATAAGGGCATCCCTATCGAAATTGTGTGGGATGCAAGTAAAGCGTATATGAGAGGGGTACTCATTCACATGAACTCTAAACACAAATTGAACAGACAAAAGAAAAGATCTGAAATCAAAGTAGAAATAAAGAAAAAAGAACAGTTACTTATTAAAAATCCA